TCTCCAGTGACTATTTGCCTTTGTGACAACACGGGAGACTTCTAAGTTAAAATGGCTGGAGGTCAGATGGCTCATGTGTCTCCTCCACATTCAGCTTTCCTATTGCAATGGCCAAAGACAGGTCCCGCGGTGCTCCTTTGAGTACCCATCCTCCCAGCTCTTTCTTTTTCTAGGATCTTCCCATGCTATTGCCACCTTCAGCAATAACTTTAGGAAGGCCCAAGTCACTCTCAAATGGGCTCTCAAAATTTCCCCTTTTCTACCCTTCCACTGCTAAATAGCATTAGTGCTAAAGTTAGCTCCTGTCATCATCCGTACTATCCACAAAGTTGGCAACTTGCTTGAAAGCTGTTTGCCAGGATGTCCTGTGTAATGGTGACAATGCGTGTTCTTGCAAGTAATGGAAATTAGTTTAAGTGGGTAGAATTGTTCATGTAATTGCAAAGTCAGAGCTTGGTAGCTTGCAGGGCTGAATTGATCCAATGGTTGAATGATGTTCATTGATAAAATTTCATTTTTTTTTTTTCTTCTGAGATGGAGTCTTCCTCTGTCGCCAGGCTGGTGTGCTTACTGGAACCTCCGCCGGCCAGGTTCAAATGATTCTCCTGCCTCAGGCTCCCAAGTAGCTGGGATTACAGGCGCCTGCCACCGCACCCAGCTAAATTTTTTATTTTCAGTAGAGACGGGATTCCACCACCTCGGCCAAGCTGGTCTCATATTTCTGACCTATGATCCACCTGCCTCCGCCTACCGAAGAGCTGGGGTTACAGGCATGAGCCACCGCACCCAGCCCATTGATGAAGTCTCTTTCCACCTCTTTGTTCTTCGTTATTGTTATCCTATGTCTGACTCCCCCTTGTGGTCACAAAATATTTGCAAACGACTTCCTGGTTACCTATTTTCTCCCCCGACTAGAAGACTGTTGCTTCTAAAAGTTCCATCAAAAGAGCTGCAGTCAGGTGCAGTAGCTCACACCTGTAATCCTAGCACTTCCGGAGGCTGAGGCAGGTGGACTCAGCCTGAGAGGTTGAGACCAGACTGGACAACATGACGAATCCCTGTCTTTACAGGAAATACAAAAACTAGCCAGGCGTGGTGACACATGCCTGTAGTCCCAGCTACTCGGGAGGCTGAGGTGGGAGGATCATCTGAGTCCAGGGAGGTCCAGGCTTCAATGAGCCATGATTGTGCCACTGCACTCCAGCCTGGGTGACAGAGTGAGTCCCTGTCCCCCAAAAAAGAACAAGCATGGGATTTAATTTCGCAGTGTATATATATATCAAAACATCACGCTGTGGCCAGGCGCACCACGTGCCAATCCCAGCACTTTGGGAGGCTGAGGCACAAAGATCGTTCGAGCTCAGGGTTTTGAGACCAGCCTGGGCAATGTAGTGAGACCTCATGTCTACAAAAAGATTGCAAAATCAACCAGGTGTAGTGGTAGACGATTGTAGTCCTAGTGGTCCCAGCTAGGCTGAGGTGAGAGGATTGCGTGAGCCCTGGAAGTTAAGGCTTCAGTGAATCATGATGGTGCTACTGTACTCTCGTAACGCAGTGAGACTCTGTCTCAAAAAATAAAGAGAAAACCCCCCAAAGCCACATCACATTGTACCCACAAAATACATACAATTGTTGTCAATTAAAACAAAAAAAAGGTTAAAAAAGAAGGAAAGGGAAATCATTTATTGTGCCAGGTGCTTTAAATATATTAACCCCAGCAGTTAATGTGCTTGCTTTTCACACTTGCTAGATGACTTTTATAACATTTTATAAAATTGCTTAACCTCTTTGTACCTCAGTTTTCTCATCTGTAAAATGAGGATAATCAAGTATCTACTGCACAGGGTGGTTCTAAGAGTTAAATGAGATAATAGATGGAAAGCCCTTAGTACAGTGCCTGGCCTAAAGGGTCAATGTGTGTTAGGTAACACACACGCACAGCATGCTTCTTTCCCAGAACCCCCGGGCAAGCCCTGGGTCACATGACCATCTCTGAACCAATCACTGTGGTGGAGGGTGGTTTTATGCTGATGAGCCAAGTCAGGGCCCAGGCTCCATTCCTAGAGTCCCAGTGGAGTTGGCGTCTCACAAAACACCGAGGCTGTTAGAGGGTGGTGTGGATACTGAATAAAAACTAGGGCAGTTTGAGAATATGAGGAAAAAAAGCTGTTGGGGAGGCAGCCAGAAGGTTCTCTATGCCCTGGATTCATTTAGCTATTTGGAATAGTTGCAAAAACAATTCTGCCGCAGATAGGAAAGTCTTCTCAAAACACATCTTCCAAATGGAATATGTCTTTAGTCAACACCTTTCTTCCCACCGACCTTCCTAAGTTTCTGAAAAGTCATATATAAGGACTGTTCCATCCAAAGAGCTGCAGGCCAGGCACAGTGGCTCACACCTGTGGTCCTAGCACTTCAGGAAGCTGAGGCAGATGGATTGCTTAAGCCTGAAAGGTTGAGACCAGCCTGGACAACAGGATGAAACCCTGTCTCTACAGAAAATAGAAGGTTCGCTATGCCCTGGATTCATTTAGCTATTCTGAATAGTTAGCAAAAACAATTCTGCCATAGATAGGAAAGTCTTCTCAAAGCATATCTTCCAAATGGAGTATCTCTTTAATCAACACCTTTCTTCCCACTTACCTGGCTAAGTTTCTGGAGAGTCGTCTCTCTGTGATGCCAAGCACTTTTCCCCAAACGTATCTTCCTTTTTTTTTTTCTATTTTAAAATAGACCATGTTGGCCAGGATGGTCTCGATCTCTTGACCTTGTGATCCGCCTGCCTCGGCCTCCCAAAGTGCTGGGATTACAGGTGTGAGCCACTGCCCCCAGCCCTATCTTCTTTTATATATACCAAAAACCCAAGTTTATATATTCCCCAACTTACAACAACATACATTATAATCTTCCCCATTATTCTAGGTCATCATCAGCAATGGAAGTTACCTTACCTTCCTTCACAGTTTTCCGCTTACGATGCACATTTGGCGGCAGACGTTGCCAGCAGAACATTAATGTACAGCCAAGTTATCAAATGCTCAGGCTGCCACCTTTCAGAGTGCGCATGTGTGCGCGTGTGTGTGCGCGTGCGCTTGCATGTATCGTGTGTCCGGACTTTTTTTCTGTGAAAACTTATCTTTTCAATTAAATTTCAGTAAAACCCATTTTTTTTTTCTGTGAAAACTCATCTTTTCAATCAAAATAATAATTGTCCAGAGGACAAAAATAGGGACTTTAAGTGGATTTTCTTGCCCAGGGCTACATCTTCAGCAGGCATTTCTAAATGTCTACCTTCTATTACAGACATATTTCATGTATTTATCATCTTTTGTGTGCTGATGCCTTGAAGGGATTTTCCTGTGAAGGGAGCAACTTAGAAAAAATAAATTACTGATATCGAATGTTCTCTTCTTTAGATTTTCTCGTAGTTTTCAAATGTTGGACATATATTTGTCTTTTGGGGGAAGTAAGTTGGAAATAGCAATAAAGAGAGATTAATTACCTAAAGCATTTTATTGATTTGCCATCAGTGGGTAAATATATCAAATTAAAAGCTGACTCCGCTCCACCAGAGAGGGCATGGAGGTGTTGGAATGGGAGAGGTAAGTGCAGACGGTGAGCGCAGATGGCAGAGATGAGTTTAAGTACCTCTTACACTATCCCTGTAATAATATTTTCAACCCCCCAGAAACCTATTCTTGTGTTGGCTGTATTGTGTGTGGCTTTGTTTTTGTTTATTAAGAGAAAAAAATAAAGCAAACCCAACTCACAACTTACAGCTCCAATCTGGACAACAGAGAATCATTTTGCTGTCTAAAAACCTACACTTAAAGCTTATTCATGAACAAGGTCTTAGTATTCAAAAAATGAAATAATAATTTCTTTTCAGCTAAAAATAAATGCTTTTTGTTGTTGCTGTTTTAGTGAACGCTCAGGGTAACACAAAGGATCAGGCTCCTGAGAAAACACAAAGACAAGACAGCAAGTGCCCCCACATGGACATAAACTAGGCACGGTTCTTTTGAAACAGATGCCTTTGGTGCTACCAGTTCAAGAAAGAACTGAAATTACAGTCTACTTTAAGAACATTTAGAAATGTGGTTTATGGCACTTTTCACCCCAGAAGTTACTTTCTATAAATGTGGCCATGATTTTAGAAATGACACACACACGCTTGCATGCGGCATAAAAGCAGGCTTCTTTCTGTTTCCAGAAGGCCTCTGTAGGTGACTGTTTTTCTGCCTTTTATGGAGTGTTGTTTGCAATATAAAGTACTTTAAAAACCCACAGGGTATGTGGAAGGTGCCCATGCTTTTGTGAGTGTGAGAGGGAGAGCACGCCAACTGTAGTTATTTCAACTTTTCTGCAAAACCTGTGATGGCTGGGAATCAGCTTCCAAAAGATCACAGCACCAACTGCCGATAGGTCTGTGCTGTGGAAGCTCAACCTTCCCTGACTTGCTACATTTTGGGCACAGAGTGGCCTCGTGTGCCCCCAGCACTGCCTGCTCACACACAGCCATACCCTGCGCTCACCTCTCATCCTTGGAGCTCCCCTTCCCACTACCTCTTTGGGCCTAGTCTATAATCCCAGAACATTCCTCACGGGTACTTTCAAAGGTCTGGGGTGGGTATGACTAGACACTGAAGAATCACAACTCTCCTATATAGGGATCCTCAGAGCTTAGATACGGAATTAGAATCGGAAAAAGAGAACCAGCACAAACAGAAAAAAGCCGCACTGCAAAACGGGCAAGAAACCAAGAGGCAGAGGCCGCAGGACTCCTGAACCGAGCGCACAGCTTCAACTTTTTGTTCACTGTCATCAGCTACACTAACGTTTCTGTGGTTTTTTGTTTTTCAAAAGAAGCTCATATTGAAAAATCATCCAAGATAGATACACTGCTGTACTAGCAAGAACCGTTCTACCTAGAAACAGTTCCTCTAACTGCACACTGCCTTGCTGATGTGAGTTCTTTCCTTACCTGATAATTTCTAATAACGATGCTATATTTGCACTAGAGATTTGGAATATTGAAACCCTTTGGTCCAGCAGTGTTTTATTCTTTTCTTTTCTTTTTTTTTGAGACAGGGCTTCACTCTGTTGCTCAGGCTGGAGTGCAGTGGCATGATCACAGCTCACTGCAAACTCCACCTCCCAGGTTCAAGGAATCCTCCTTCTTTAGCCTTCCATAGGGGCGCACCACCATGCCCAGCTAATTTTTTGTATTTTTGGTAGAGATGGGGGTTTTGCCATATCGTCCAAGCTGGTCTCGAACTCCTGACCTCAAGTGATCTGCCTACCTCAGACCCCCAAAGTGCTGAGATTACAGGCATGAGCCACTGCACCTGGCCTGGCTCAGTAGTTTTCAAAAAAGATGGTACACATATTACTGTGGTCAGAAAGGTAATTTTTTTTTTTTTTTTGATACAGTCTTGCTCTTTTGCCAGGCTGGAGTGCAGTGGCATGATCTCGGCTTACTGCAACCTCTGCCTCCCGGGTTCAAGCAATTCTCCTGCCTCAGCCTCCCCAGTAGCTGGGACTACAGGTGCACACCACCACACCCAGCTAATTTTTGTAGTTTTAGTAGAGATGGGGTTTCACCATGCTGGCCAGGATGATCTCGATCTCCTCACCTTGTGATCTGCCTGCCTTGGCCTCCCAAAGTGCTGGGATTACAGGCATAAGCCACTGCACCTGGCCAGCGAGATAATTTTAATATTCAGATATCCTTTTAATGGTTATATATTTTTTTCTAATGCATATTAGAAAAAATATCACAAGCACATCAATCACTGTACTTAGTAGCATAACTTCCCATGAGCTTATCAGTGATGTCCAAGGCCAGGTCTGAATAGATGCTTTCTGGGCCTACCTGTCAGCATATGAAAATCATGGACACTGATCAATGATCCCAGACTTGGGGAGAGGACTCACCTGCCTCTTTGTCCTGGGACTATGGATAAGTGTCTCCTGACAGTATCATACCTGTGCAGTCCTGTGAAGGGGGAGGCTCCCCAGCCTCGACGGCCTAGCCTCCGGCTTCACCAGCAGCTCTCTCTCCTTTTTCTAGTCAAGCACAACATTAGCTGGGGTTTTGCAATATTTAATCCAAAAAGATTCTGGCATCTTAAAAGTTGGGTTTACAAACTTGACACATTCTCAATATTAGCAATTTATCTATTTAAACATTGTCTAAGAAAATAGGATCTATGAAGACATTAATAAGATACTTAAGAGTTCAGTATAAGCTACAACACTTTGCAAATAAGTATCTAGTTTAATTGCAACAAACCACAATTTGTGAGCAAATTTAAGTATATAAAAAACATTAGTTAAATACAATTCTCTATGAATATACATTATACCTTCAGCTGTTTTTACAGTGGGATTCTTTTTTTTTTTCCGTTTAATTATCAAAATGATAAATCACTGCACGGTCCTGGATCTCCATGCTATAAAACTGAAATATGTATTTCCAGCGTAGCAGATGGTGACCAGGAAGGCAAAGAACTGGAGAAAACACAAAACATAATAGAAGTGGGGTTTAGGGTACATCCCAATTAGCAAAAGTTATCATTTCACCTGCATTGAATCATGAGCTCGCCATCTAAAACTACTTTATTGACTCAACTACTATTCTTCTCAAATGGTTTCTGGCGATGCTGTTTTGATTTTGGGGAACATCTGAAAGCCTGTCGTTTTGCTCAGATAACCTCAGGGAGCTCACGTAGGAGTAAATATAGCAGCAGTGCATCTGAGAGAAGTGTACCATTTCTAATTCAGCACAGGCAATCTAGGTCAGGGTTCAACCTCGGATGGCTACAGTGTCAGTTCACAGAAATGAGTCAAGTGGGCAGGAGTAAGCAGTGAGCCCACATGGTGTGTGTGGTGTGAACAGGGAGCAGGAAAATGCTGGCCCTTCTTAATTAATGGGGCAGCCTCCATCCAGTTCTAGTCCATTCTTGCTATGTGTTAACTTGGGCCCAGTCTTGACAGAGCTTGTGATTTTTAATGTCATGGTCATTCCATGTGCTCTACTTTTTTTTGTTTTTGAGATGGAATTTCACGCTTGTTGCCCAGGCTGGAGTGCAATGGTGCAATCTCAGCTCACTGCAACCTCCGCCTCCCGGGTTCAAGCAATTCTCCTGCCTCAGCCCCCTGAGTAGCTGGGATTACAGTGCCCACCACCACACCCAGCCAATTTTTTTGTACTTTTAGTAGAGACAGGGTTTCACCATTGTTAAGCAGGCTGGTCTCGAACTCCTGACCTCAGGTGACCCACTCTGCCTGCCTTGGCCTCCCAAAGTGCTGGGATTACAGACATATGCCACTGTGCCTGACCACTCTACTTTTAAATAGACATCTTCAAATAGAAATAAAAGTAAAGAATATAATGAACCCTCATGTACCATCAATCAGCTTTGACAAAATCATTTTGGCATTTCTGTCTAATTGCCTCCCACTCTTCCCCCGAGGCGGGTAGATCACTTGAAGTCAGGAGTTCGAGACCAGCCTGTCCAATGTGGTGAAACTCCCATCTCTACTAAAAATACAAAAGGCTGGGCATGGCGGTGAGCACCTGTAATCCCAGCTACTTGGGAGGTTGAGGCTGGAGAATTGCTTGAACCCAGGAGGGGGAGGTTGCAGTGACTGGAGATTGCACCATTGTACTCCAGCCTGGGTGACAAGAGCACAACTCCATCTCAAGAAAACAAAACAACAACAACAACAAACATAAAAGTAAAAAAAAAAAAAAAACACACAACAGGTAAAACATTAGCCAGGCATGGTAGCACAGGGTTCTAGTCCCAGCTATTCGGGAGGCTGAGGCAGGAGGACAGCTGGAGCCCAGGAGTTCCAGGTTGCAGTGAGCTGTAATTACGCCACTGCACTCTAGCCTGGGGGATGGAGGAAGACTCTTTTTTTTTTTTTTTTTAAGAAAAGAAGTAGAAGTTCCATGTCCTACTCCCCTCATTTCCCAATCCCTGTCTCTAGACAGACCCTTACTGGTATATATTTTTCTACACATTCTCAATGCATAAACACGTTTTCACTTTAAAAACTAAATAGAATCATATTCTGTTCATTTTCTTCAACCTTCCCGCACTTAATAAATTGTAGGCGGTAGAACGGTTCTTAGCGTGCTGGAAACAGTTTTTCTCCCTTGCATCCTTATCTCGTTGCAGTCCTTCGGCTTTGACTCAAGCGGTCTCCCAGCCTTTCCCACTTCAGGCCAGGAGGGCCCCCTGCCCCTGCCAGTTTGAGATATTTTCAAACCAATAAGCCAACTGCCAATGTCACGGCTGCCAGTGCTGCTTTTTCCCGCAGCTGACTGTGTCCTCCCAATCCCAGGCGAGCCTTGGAGAGGGAAGAGGAGGATGGTGTGGGGATGGAGGGCTACTCACCGAGGAGGCCGCCCAGCTGTTGAAGTTGTGGCTGTCCCTCTCAGGGGAGACGGAAGATGCGTCGACAACAGCAGCAGAGAGGTACAGGACGAAGGCACTGCTGTTAAAGCACAGGCCCTGGGGGGACAGAAGGGCAGAGTGCTTGGGGGCGGGGTCTGTACTTCCGGACTTCAAGTGACCAGAGCAGCACCTCTGGTGTGGTGAGGGGCCCAAGGGGACACCTGTGGGAGGGTGGGGGACAAGGCTGTGGGAATGCAGCTCTCAGGGCCTTGGGAAGCAGCAAGTGCGAAGGAGAGGGTTTGTTTTTTGAGACAGAGCTTCATTCTTGTCACCCAGGCTGGGGTGCAATGGCACGATCTCAGCTCACTGCAACCTCCGCCTCCTGGGTTCAAGTGATTCCTCTGCCTCAGCCTCCCGAGTAGCTGGGACTACAGGCATGTGTCACCACACCCAGCTAATTTTTGTATTTTTAGTAGAGACAGGATTTCTCCATGTTGGTCAGGCTGGTCTCCAACTCCCGACCTCAGGTGATCCACCTGCCTCGGCCTCCCAAAGTGCTGGGATTACAGGCGTGAGTCACCGCGCCTGGCTAAGGAGAGGGTTTTACAGCAGCCTGTACCAGATGCTGCCCCCTGCCCCTGCAAGACACCAAGACTGCATGCCACCCCTTCAGTCATTGTGCTGCTTTGGTTTGCCCCTGAACCTCGTCTCATCCAGATGTCAGCTGAGCTGGCAGACACTGTCTGAGGGCGGCAGGCAGCGGGGACGGCCACACAGTGGGGTCGGCCTCAGCCCCCGGCCCTCAGCAGCAGTGTGGCCCTTGCATGTGTCCCTGACATAGAGGTGCAACTGAGTGTCCCCCAAAACAGACCCAGCTGACTCCCTCAACCCCTGTTCCAAACAGGGAGGGATATTTAAGTGAGCGCCTGCGTCATAACTGCAAGTTCTTAAAAAGGCGGTTATAGACATTATGACAGCCCTTTGGGAACTAATGTCACCCCTGGCTTCATCTTATTTTTTCCTATTTTTAGAGAAGATTTGTAGGTCCCAGTATGTGTTTGGTTTTCAGTTATGTCTAAACTCTAAGAAACCACACTCTGAAGCGTGCTTAGGAAACCACGCAAAGCTGGGTCCTGCCTGAACAGAGAGGGGTGGGGGTGAAGTGAAACCAGAGCAGACACCAACGGGGGAGGAAGGGAGGCCTCTCCAGGAGCGGGCCCCCTGTGGTCTAACATCTTTGCCTCAGTAACTTAGAGACAGAGGAAGAGGGAGGGGAAAGGGAGGAAGCAATCTTCTTCTCAGAGAAAAAAAAGGTGCATGGAAGTTTCCCACTGCAGGCTCTAGCACTGTGGCAGAGGTTGTATGTCCCTGTCACCACCTCCACCTGTGCTCACATTGTCCCCGGGTCAGGGCACTTAACCTTTAAGATAAGGGTTTCATCACAGTCAGACCCAGGGTCAGGCTGTCCGCTAAGCAGCCCTGGCCTCACTGAATGACTCACTAGTATTGTTGGTTGTGTTTACTTTTTGGTCTAGAGACATATCTGTGCATTAACAAACAAGCAGTTACTGGTGTTTTTTTCCCCCATATCACCTCTTAGAATATTATAGAGTTACGTGGCGGGGCACGGTGGCTCACGCCTGTAATTCCAGCACTTTGGGAGGTCGAGACAGGTAGATCACAAGGTCGAGATCGAGACCATCCTGGCCAACATACTGAAACCCCATCTCAATGAAAAATACAAAAATTAGCTGGGCATGGTAGTACATGCCTGTAATCCCAGCTACTCGGGAGGCTGAGGCAGGAGAATTGCTTGAACCCAGGAGACGGAGGTTCCGGTGAGCCGAGATCGCGCCATTGTACTCCAGCCTGGGTGAGAAGAGCAACTCAGTCTTAAAAAAAGGGAAAAATCATTAAATGTAGTTACCTTTGAGGTACAAGAGCCTTCAGTTTTCATTTTGTATCAGTGGACATTAAACTTATTTTTCTTTAATAAATTAGCCATGTATTTACTTTAAAAATATTAAAATGCTTTTTTTAAAAAACACATGTTAATGATAACCTAAGAAAATCTACCCTGGACAGAACAATCTGGAATAAAAAGTTGGTGTCTCCTACTCCACCTCAACCCCTTCTTCTAGAGCACAGGCAAGTATTTTGATAGAAATGGAATCACAGAGTTATGTTACTTGCTTTCTTTTTCTCGTTTAAAAACATATATAGGCCAGGGGCAGTGGCTCATGCTACAATCCCAGCACTTTGGGAGGCTGAGTCAGGAGTATCACTTGAGACCAGATGGGGCAACATAGTGAGACCCTGTGTCTCTTTTTTTTTTTTTTTAATTTTTTTTCAATAGAGACGGGGTTTCATCATGTTGGCCAAGCTGGTCTCAAACTCCTGACCTCAGGTGATCCACCCGCCTCGGCCTCCCAAAGTACTGGGATTACAGGTGTGAGCCACCATGACCAGCCAAGACCCTGTCTCTTAAAAAAAAAAATTAGCTGGGTATGGCAGTGTGTACCTGTAGTCCCAGCTACTTCGGAGGTTGAGGTGGGAGGATCACTTGGGCCCAGGAGTTTGACGCTGCAGTGAACTATGGTCATGCCATTGTACCCTAGCCTGGGTGACAGAGTGAGACCCTGCCTCACACACACAAAAAAGATACCAAAGGCGTCTTCACACAGCAGTCCAAACAGACTAATTTCATGTCTTGTCTCACCACTAATACTTCATAATTTAACTTTTCCCCTATTGATGGGCATTTCCAGGATTACAAATGCCACTGCAATGAACATCTTTGGGCATGCGTTTCAGGGCTCTCATACATGTCTAGTTCTTCCTACAAGGAAAGAATGAGAAGGCATGAAAAAGAATTCAGAGAAAGCTCAACATGGCCAGAACTGTCCGGATGTCCTGGGCCTTGTGCATGAACCCATGTGGATGAGGGGGCCAGAGAGGAGGTGGGAAAAAGACAACTCTCTGAGTCTAGGACCTCGGAACATGATATGACATCTCTCAGTAAGTATGACCCACTTTTCTGAACTCTAAAGAAACAAACTGCTATTTCCCTTGGATAGAAATGGGGAAGGGGAAGAGTGTTGGTAGAGACGTGAGGAGAAGGCAGGGGCATTCTTCCGCTGTGCACCCCCCACACCAGGTCTCTGCCAGATTACTACAGGCCTCCATTTACACTGACTCACAGTGCCTAACTTTGTGACTTCCCTCGTCTTGTTTAATACTACCAAGAGTGAACACGTCCAGAATACCTGGATTGGAGGAACTGTGGTGAAAACAGGTGGAGAGACGAAAGAAAAGAGAAGAGCAAAGAAACTGGGATCGTCATAAAGGTAAAAGAAAGAGGGCCGGGCGCGGTGGCTCACGCCTGTAATCCCAGCACTTTGGGAGGCTGAGGGGGGTGGATCACCTGAGGTCAGGAGTTTGAGACCAGCCTGCCCAACATGGTGAAACCTCATCTCTATTAAAAATGCAAAAAATTAGCTGGTTGTGGTGGCAGGTGCCTGTAATCCCAGCTACTTAGGAGGCTGAGGCAGGAGGATTGCTTGAGCCCAGGAGGCGGAGGTTGCAGTGAGCCGAGATTGCACCATTGCACTCTGGCCTGGGTGACAAGAGCGAAATTCCTTCTCATAAATAAATAAGTAAATAAATAAATGTTAAAGAAATCTGGGTGGCTATAGAAGTGGAGGAGGGATACATGAAGCTTCAGAGGGCTCTAGAATGTCACTCAGCTTCATAGAAACATGAGGTCTTGTTGCTATAGAGAAATAGGCCCTGGATCAGAGACTTCAAGCTGAAAACCCTTATTTATAGCTCCTCCAACTGAAATGCCAGTTCCCTGGACCATGGTGAAAGAGAGCTACAGGGACAGTATAGTAACTTAAGATCTCTGCCGGGTGCAGTGGCTCATGCCTGTAATCCCAGCACTTTGGGAGGCCGAGGCAGGCAGATCACCTGAGAGGTCAGGAGTTCAAGACGAGCCTGGCCAATGTGGTGAAACCCCATCTCTACTAAAAATACAAAAGTTAGCCAGGCATGGTGGCGGGCACCTGTAATCCCAGCTACTCGGGAGGCCGAGGCTTGAGAATCACTTGAACCTGGGAGGTGGAGGTTGCAGTGAGCCGAGATAATGCCACTGCACTCCAGCCTGGGCGACAGAGTGAGACTGCGTCTCAAAAAAAAGAGAGATTTTCAACTTCTTTTTTTGGAGGAAGGGAGGAGAGAGAGAGAAGTCTACTCTTCTGAAAATCAATCCCTCCTTGGTATAAAAATGTTCTTTTTTTCTCAAATACTGGCTTACTTTTACCCAGTTATGCCTAGTACTTGAGAACATATTAAGAGAAATCTCAGGTCTCAAGATAATGGCAAGAAGCCCTGAGATAATACACAGTAAAGTTGGGTGTGGTGACATGACCCAAGAGGGTGGCCTAGGAAAGGGAGTTTACTCCTATCAAAGGCGTAGGCAGTCACAGCTGGTCTGGCAGCCTCAGGGTGACGGGGCACAGGCTCCATCCTCTACAATCCTCAGCCATCTCTAGGGTCTCACCGTTCTCCACATGGCCCAGGAGGTGTCCCACTGCCAAAGTGGAGTCCCAGCCGATAGAAAGGGGAGGAGGTGGAGGAGAAAAGCAGCAGCCCTACTTTTGGGCCATGAAGCTTCACACAGCACTGCCACTAACGTCCCCTCAGCGGGAACTCAGTCCTAGGGCCCGCCTTGCGGCAGAGTGGCCAAGTCGCCACTGAAACTCCTATTACTGCAGAAGAAAATGGATACTGGGGAAAGTGAGCAGTTGCTGTCCCTGGCGCGACATCTATTCAGACAGCTCAGAAGGCAAGATTTGCAGGCATCTGCGATTGCATCCTTAAGAGTGGAAAGACACAGCTACCCAGGTTCACCATCTGGCATACGCAAACCTCGGAAAACGTAAGAGAACAGCTGGGAAGGATGACTCCCCTGGAGCTGCACCCGCCTCTCTTTTAAGCATTTATTTAAATTTCCCTCTGCTTATTACAGTCAGCCTTGTACACATCTTTTCTATCAGAGTCCTTTACTTTCTTTCTTTCTTTCTTTTTTTTTTTTTTGAGACAGAATCTCACTGGGT